CAGCCTGCTCCACCCAGAGAAGCACACTTTGTGAGAACCAATGGAAAGGAGCCTGAGCTACTGGAACCTATTCCCTATGAATTCATGGCATGATGGGTGTTAAAAATAAACTAATCTGTGGTCTATTTAAAAATAATAATAAAAAAGAAAAGAAAATGTTTCAGAAGAAAAAGTGCACTTGTCACTAGATTTTAGCTTTGTCCATATTTTCAGTTTATCTAATATCGTTTGTGAATCAATAAAATGTGAAAAAAGTTTAGTATGGGAAGGAGGGGAAAGGGGAAAGAAAAAAAGTAAAAGTATGTTTAATTGACAAAAAAATGAGAAGCTATTTGCTGATGATAATGTATATGATAATATCTTTCTCTTGACTGATATGCATGGTATTTGTGCTGGAAAAAGAAACGTTGCACACTGTAAAGATATATGTGATTAAATGTAAATTTTTAAAAAGTGAAAAAACCCAAAATAATCCTTAGAAAAAATTCTATTTATATTTAAACTATCAGGATGCCAAAGAATATACACACTAGGCTGGTTAGGGTGGTCCAGGAGGTCAGTGCTGCTACAGATACTGGGCCATGTGAAAAGGCCAGGACTTGGATCCCACAGGCTCGCTCAGGACCCTGGCTGGCCGGAAGCCACAGGGTAGGACTGCAGTAAGATAAAAATAAGGTTGAGATAAGATTAAGACTGGGGGGTCAGCAGGTAGCACGGTAGTTAAGGCACTGGACATTCCCATGTGGCTGACCACAATTCGAATCCCAGACCTCGCAGCTTACTTTCTCACTTTCCCTCCCTCTCTCTCTGTCTCTCTCTCTGACCAAATTAAAATAAATGAACCAATTAATAAAATTTAAGTAAACAATTCTTTCTTTTAAAAAAAATAAAGAAGATAAGATTGCAATAAGATAATTTGTTGGGGGTTCCTATCACTCTCTCCCCCCCCCAATAAATAAACTTTAAAAAAAAGAATGTATGTACTGTAGAACAACATACGCATGTATGGGAAAGGCCTGAAGCACATACAGGTGGCTCTCCATATCCACATCTGCGGATTTAACCAATTGTGGGGCAAAAAAATTAAAAAGAAAGAAAGAAAGAAAGAAAGAAAGAAAGAAAGAAAGAAAGAAAGAAAGAAAGAAAGAAAGAAAGAAGGA